TTCAGCAGGAGCGGATCTTGGTGTCTTCTTTGGGCGTGAACACCAACTTTGGGAGATACTGTTTCTCCGGATCAGGTATAATCCTCCATTTTTCTTTTTGGTTCAGATCTGGTTCGATTATGGTTCAAGTAAGATCTTTGAATATTGTATTCTAAATTCAGGGATGCGATTCCCAGTTGGGAGAAGGTAGGAAAATTTTCAAAATTCGCCCACCCATTCCGCAACCTTCATGGCATCCATTAAATGGATCATACCCTTCTTTCATTAATCCAATGTGAGTCCATTACAAATGGATTTGGTCCAATCCAGTCCAATGAATATTTTGAACCATTTTGTACGGTCTAAAGACTGTCCAATTTGTTCAAATTCATGTTAATTTAGATTGGTTCCAACTCAATCCTGGTCCATTGACACCTATGTTCTTATTTTCTATCAATGGACCAGATATTGGCTCATTCCAATATAAATTCATTATGGACAGATCAGGTCCAATCCAATATATCATACTGGTCCATCCAGTCTATCCAAATTTAATATATCTTATTGGTCCATCCAATCCGTCCAAATTGATTTTGATTTGGATGGAGTCCAACTCGAAACCAGTCCATTGGCACCCGTAAATCCAATGATGGAATGGGCTCAATGCGGTTTAGATCTGAGAGTAAGAGGAAACTATGGGGTCTCGTTCTGGTTTCACCCAAAAAAGAAGCTATTCGTTCATTTATGTTTCTACCTTTTCTTGCCCTTTGACCTGGAAATAAACGATGGGGCTCCGTTACTGGTTCTTGCCCTTGTTGGTGTGATGATTACCATGTTAAAATTTTATACTTTTATCTGAGAGTGATATTGAGACAGAGTAGAAAGCATACAAACCTTAAAACCTAAACCTTTTTTTTCTCTTTAACTTAATTGACCTATTAGCTAGTATGGTTCCACTTTAGATCTACTTCCTTTTCTTTTCTCTTATTTCTTTTTTCATTAGGATTGGTGCCAATTTCCTTGATTTAATAAGTTGAGTTTATAAATAGAGTAATTGTAATTGGAGTTAAAATGGAGTTGATTTGAAGAAATAAATTAATATTGGTTTGGTTGTTAGTAGAAGTTTCCTCTTTTTTTCCCCTCTTATTTTTTTCTTTTTAAGTGATTTGTCTCTTTATTGTTTACCCTAACAAAAAGATCTAACCTCCCTTTTTCCAATTTCTTATTCACCTTTGGTGTACAACAACAACTTTACTTATTTTTTCATCCATATTCTTCATCTCCAATCCCCCACAGCCCCTCGTTCACAACACAAAATTCACTACCAAATCCTAATTAATTAATAGGACCTTTACCCATATCCTACATTAATTGTTGATGAGTTGAAATGTCTACGTAGGTCAAGCTCTTTGTCTGTTTTCATATACATTTATAGGTTGTGAAGACTTTGCAAGTCTAAGTCAAGCTCTCTTGTCTTTCTTAATTACTCTTTTTCCATGACTGGATAATTTCTTTCAATTGCTATAATTCAAATATATAGTTTAACCAAGTTTATCATGAGAAGTTAAGTGAGACCAAGTGTGGTTATTGGGGTTCATGAAAACATTGAGATAATTTTTCATAAAGACACACTTGGTTAAACTTTCAATTGTTATAGTAGAAATATATAGTTTAACCAAGTCATTGCATGAAAAAAAAGAGTTAGCTTGACCTAAACTTCATATGTCTAGGTCAACCTCATTGTCTTTTTTGCCGTACAAGTGTAGGTTTTTGTGTCTGTTTTTTTGATGGATGTAATAATTAGGAGTTATTTACCTAGATTTTACAAGTCTATGTCAACATCTCTATTATAAATTAAGAGATGTGTGCTGCAATTCCGGGTGGGTAGGGACTGGGCAGGAAAAGTGAGTAGAAAATCTGAGCTCAATCTTTATTATCAATTTTAGATTGTCCTACAATGTTTTTGGGTTGTCCTACAATTAATTACATCTCTTCATATTATTCATATCAACATGTAGGTCAGGATAAACCATTTCTAGATATAGACTGACCTTAATTAGTCTCTAAAATTGTTATAATAATATTTAATTATTGGATACCCGGCCCATATTTGACCTGTTCTTATATGCATGGTTGGGTATGGATGAGTTGGGTGGGTCATATGGGTTGGGTCAAAAATTGCCACTCCTATATCAAAGCCAAAATCGCCCGACCTGTGAACACCCCCTGATTCAATAGGGTATATCAAATCAATGGCTTTTTGTATAGTGGAGGGTTTTTGCATATATAGAGTGCAAATCCTTGTATTTTATATGTATTTATAGTGTATATATTTGTATTTGTATTCTTTCTAAATACTGAACTGACGAGTCTCAATAGGGAAGACTAAATCAATGGATTTTTGTATAGTGGGGGATTATGGCATGAATTTGACCATCTTACCTCCAAGGGGGTGTTCTTTTTCTGGATTTTGAGAGGGGGGAAGTTGGTCAATAGGATTTTGATTCCCATTGACCAAAAATCTCATGTTCTTTTCTCAGATTTATGTGGGAAACAGGGAAAATTTATTTTCCTAGGTACCCATCTCTTAGGTGAGTAAATAACTTTCCCACCTTGGGGGAAAGTTACCAACATTTAAAATGGACAAAAATGCCCCTTGTAATAATGGATTTTTATGGATAAAATGGTTGTTGTCTTTTTTACATGAAAAATAAAAGAACATGGGTAAGTACACCTAACTGGTTAAATATTTCCTGAGAAGCAATTACCTGGATAAATGCATTTACCTGGATAAATAACTTACCGAAATGCAAACGAGGTCTAAGTGACGAGTCTCAATAGCGAAGACAATGGGTTGAATCTCAGCCTAACATGAAACTATAATACTATGACAAACAGATTTACTTACTCAAATAAAAAAAAAAAAAAGAAAAAATGAAAGAGATGAGCTAGAGAAAGCGATCTTATACGTAATTGAATGATTTATGTATTGTATTGGTTTGATAATTGATATGTATGTGATTGCATGTGCGTGAACCAGACTTTCTTGAAAAGAAGTCAACACGAAAAATTATAAAATAAATGTGAGATGGCACAATTTGGTGAATTTTCATTGGTTAGTGTATGCTATTTAAGTTTGTGGAAACTAATAGCCTTCATTCAGTCCAAAGTTCCAAACCATCTCTCTGGTCTCAGTAATTAGACAATGGACATCCAGCAGGAGAACAGACTCCAACAGCCAGATAAATGGTTTGAGTACTATCGGTTCCAGCGGAGTAGAGACCCACCAGGCGATGCACGGAACACTATGTTGGTGGTGGCCACACTGATCGCTACGGTGACTTTTCAAGCCGGACTCAACCCTCCCGGCGGTGTGTGGCAGGACAATGATGGACATGAAGCCGGAATCAACCCTCCCGGTGGTGCCTGGCAGGACACCGCAGATGGACATGAAGCTGGAAAGTCCATTTTAGGTTACAACCATTCTGTATACAAATTATTCATTCTTGCTAACACTTTGGGGTTTTCAGCTGCTTGTAACATCATTGGTTACTTCGTTAAGGGCTGCCCCATGTACATGGAGGTGTATATTGCCATCTTATCCATGTGCTTCACTTATGGAGTTGCAGTTGGTGCTATCTCGCCTGATGGGGCGCTGAATTCAAGCTTATTCGCGATAGCCTTGTTTCTGCCCTGTTTACTACGGTTGTTGGTGAATTGTTCCAAGAAGTAGAAGAAGAGTACTGAACCAAGCAAAATTGGTGTTACGTACGGTCACACCCAAAATGGCGAAACCTATGTTCCTTGTGTTTCATCAAACTTGATTTCTCTGTTTTTTTTTTTTTATTTATTTTTCTTTCTTTATTTATTTTCTTTTCTATGTTTGTGCCTGTTGTCTGCTAAGATAAACGTAGTGATAAATATGACAGCACTCCCGGTTTTCTTTTCTTTTTTTTTTTTCTAAATAACTTCTTCAAATCTGTAGGCTATATATTTTTCGTTCAACTTGAATTTCATATCTGAACCCTTGAATTTCATATCTGAACCTTCAACCTTCAACCCTAAAATTAATGTGTAAAATGCAATGGGCAATCTGTAGAAGGTCTTAGTCCCGTTGGGTTGGTTTTGGCCTTTTCAAGCTTGGGCATTTCGTTGCCTTTCCCATCCTCTATGCAAGGCCAGTGATCTTAAATTTAAACTCTTTTCTTTTATATATTATTGTATTTGAAGGGAAGGGAGATCATCATATGGATAGCCGAACCATGCTAGATGGTTGGGTGAAATTTCAAAAAATTTTATTCTCCCTTACGGGAATCATAATCTCGATTTTAGAAAAATTGCATTTTACAAGGACCGTTCTTGCACCAAACAGGATCAAATCTGAAACCAAAAGAAAAGAAGATAAATACCTGATACAAGAACCACACATGTTCCCAAAGTAGGTGTTCACGCCCAAAGAAAGTATCAAAACCTGCTTCCACTGAAGATGGCGTAGATTGAGATGAAGTGGGTTCAACAATGTAGTCCTTCAACAAAAACTGCAATCCAATAGCTTGAATCGAACAAGAGAGGTGAACATGAGTTCGATATGATATTTTTATGCAAAAATCAGAATCACAACTGATCTCTATTAGTTCAAGAATGGAGGTCGAATCAGGGTTAGGGCAGTAAAAGCAGAAGGAGAGAGAGAACTGAGAGCAATGTGTAAACCTGTAGCAATTCACCCTCCTTTATTTATATAGCTTAAAGAGTTGCTCTCCTAATCCAATTAGGAACTTCCTCATCCAAATCTTTATTTGGATTTGGACTCTTTAAGTGGATAAGACTTATCCTTTTATCCTTATCTATTGATCCAAACCTATATCCATATACAAATTTTCCCATGTCACATGATTGCTTAAGTTGTCATGTGACATGTTGGTTAATCCAATTAATCTTTGGACTTTAGTCCCATTAAGCAAGTAGCCTCACATCCCTTATTTATGTGGCATGGGACCCTAACAATGACCTCACAAAAGTCTATACGGGTTCAGCCTAGCTTCTGTAACAAAGTTTGACCGAATTCATTATTGACAAAGAGAACCCCTGAGTCCATCACTATCACTATGGGCTCTTAATGGGTCCAACATTTACACTAAATGGTCATTGGGTCTAGTCATCCTATGAAGGTCTAAGGACAATGGACTTGAGTGAGATATAGCCCATCAGGTATAAAATCCCTAAACAGTCTTACACTTAACTTCTCAGCCCTTAATGATCAAACACTACCCGACAAGAGAGGACCTCTTACTTGACTACAAGGTACAATGTTGCACTTTCTACTCGGATGGATCCCGGGAATTGAAACCTTTTGCAAAACTTTTCTTAAAAACATAATATATATATATATATATATATTCATAAAAATATATTTTTGCAAAACAAATCTGAAACATAGTTGAAATCGACTGGCAGCAGTTTTGGTTTTTATTCAGAGAGAGTGCAGTCCCGATCATTCACTTTGTCTGATAAAGAGGTTGATCCTATCACTATGATCACACACTCAAGTGAATTCTCAGACTGTCCCAACATTCTTATGTTTTGACCCCTGAAGAATCACACTAATTGGCACATCAAAGACAGCTTAGTCTAACACCCAATGCAGCACCATAATCGAGTTTAGGGTTCATGTGTAACTTTCTAGTTTTGCCCATTAGTCTCCAAGGTCTAAGTCATAACTGGAAATTGGTTTGGGTTCAGTGTTTCAAACAAATACACACTACATGTGCTTTGGGACTAACCCTAGCAGTTGAGACAAGCCACCCCAACTGACTTGACAACACATTAGTGTCAACCTTAGTAGGATAAACTTTCCCAAGTCTATCTAATGACTGAAAACATTCTAAACTAACACGAGTCTCATAAGTGTCCTATTTAAGGGTAATTACACAAAACCACACAATATATAACATGAATCAATTATGTACTTTTATTCATTTACAATAAATGTTTAATGTACATCAATTTTATTAGAGTTAAGGGCATACACTGTCTAACAACTCTCACATGTACTTAGGTCCAATCAGGTACAATCTGGAGTCCAATACTGTCCACGTGTTTTTCAAACACTTTTTGTGTCAATGACTTTGTCAATGGGTCTGCTACATTTTTTGCTGATGCTACCTTCTGAATCTAGACGTCCCCTCTACCAAGAATCTCCTGCAGTACATGATACTTCCTCTCGATGTGCTATGAATTCGAGTGGGCTCTTGGCTCCTTTTCTTGAGCAATAGCTCTAGTATTGTTACACAACAATGAATGAATGATGTGTTAGATGGAACTATTCCTAATTCTTTAATGAAGTTCTTCATCCATACTGCTTCTTTGGCAGCTTCACTTACGACAATGTACTCGGCTTCGGTCATAGAATCTATTGTGCACTCTTGTTTGCTGCTTTTCCAACTAACTACATAGGACCCCATCGTAGAGATATAACTAGATGTAGACTTTCTATCATCTGAATCTGAACCGAAGTCGACATCAATATACCCTAAGATCTGTAGTGAACTACCATCAAATAATAGACAAAACTCTTTTGTCCTCCGAAAGTATTTGAAAATGTTCTTTAAAGCAGTCTAATGCTCCTGTCCTGGGTTTGATTGGTATCTACTTACCGTACTCACGGCGTGAGCTATGTCTGGCAAAGTGCACAACATGGCATACATGATGCTCCCTATAGCTAAGGCATAGGGAACTTCCTTCATGCCCTCAATCTCCTCAGGAGTCTTGGGAGACATACCTTTGGAGAGAGTGTCTCCGTGCCTAAAAAAGACAAATCCCTTCTTGGAGTTCTCCATGTTATATCTTTTGACAATCCTGTCAATATAAGTAGATTGGGATAATCCTATTATCCTCTTTCGATCTATCTCTATAGAATTGCAGTCCCAAGATGTAAGAGGCCTCTCCAAGATCTTTCATAGAGAATTGCTATGAAAGCCATACCTTCACTGTAGTTAACATTTCAACATCATTCCCAATGAGTAGAATGTCGTCTACATACAGAACCAAGAACATAACCTTGTCTCCCATTGATTTCCTGTAAACACAGGGATCATCCGGATTCTACTCAAAGTCAAATTATTAGACAGTAGAGTCAAATCGGATGTTCCAACTTCTTGAAACTTGCTTAAGTCCATAGATGGATCAGTTAAGTTTACACACCATATGTTCCTGACTCACAACAATGAAATTTTGTGGTTGCTACATATAGATATCTTCAGTAAGATCTCCACTCAAGAACGCAATTTTGATATCTATTTGCCAAATCTCATAATCATAGTGTGCTGCTACAACTAGCAGGATCTGTGTGGATTTAAGCATGGCCACTAGAAAAAAAGTTTCCTCATAATCGATTCCCTCTTCTTGAATGTACCCCTTCACTACAAGATGAGCTTTATAGGTCTCAACCTTTCCATCAGGGCCTTTTTCCTCTTGTAGATCCATTTGCAACCAATTGCATTCACCCCAAAGGGTGGGTATATGAATGTCTAGACCTTATTGGTTTCCATTGAGTCCATCTCAGCTTTCATGGCATCTACCCACTTCAAGGAATCTATGTCCAATATAGCTTTCATATAAGTCATGTGATTTTCCTCAACGATCGTGGCTTCCATCAAGTAACTTTCTTTATCATAGTCGTAACAAACTAGAGGTCTACAAACCTGGATAGATCTTCTAGGTTGGGTATTATCTAGAACCTATGGGACATCTCCCTCTACTCCTAGGCTCTCTGCATCAAGAACAATTTTTTGACAATGTTTGTCCAAAAGGTAATCATGTTCCAAGAAGTAAGCATTTTGACTTAGAAACACCTTTTTCTCTCTTGGGCCATAGAATAAGTATCCTATAAAGCTTTTGGGGTAGCCTACAAATAGGTAACGACTGGTCTTGGATTCCAATTTGTTAGCACTTGTTCTTTTAACATGTGCTAGAAAACCCCAAATCTTCAAGTGTCTTACACTTGGTTTCTTACCAATCCAGAGCTCATAGGGAGTCATAGGAATGGATTTGGTTGGAACCCAGTTCAGCATGTATGACGTAGTCTCCAATGTGTATCCAAAAAGGATATATGTAGTTCTGAGTGGAGAAGAAGTGAATGGACCATATCTAATAGAGTCTAGTTTCTCCTCTCCGACACACTATTTAATTGTGGTGTAACGAGAGGAGAAAATTATGATACAATCCCATTGTCTTTCAAGTAGTCCCCGAATTCGTCGGAGAGATATTTTCCTCCTCGATCTGATTGAAGGGCCTTAATTTGTCTCCCCAATTGTTTCTCAACCTCTTGTCTGAACTCCTTAAACTTTTCAAAGGATTCAAACTTATGCCTCATTAGGTACACATAACCATCCTGAGAATAATTATCAGCAAAAGTTATAAAATAGAGACCATTCTTTACCAACCTTATGATACAATCTATATTGGTGTGGCCAAGTTGGTAATGCCATAGGCACATGGGATTTCCCATATCACATGATCTTTTCTTCGGGATTATATCCGACGTAGTTTCGGTTATGTTTATTTCCAAAGAAAGATGGAGGACATAGAGACCATTCTTAAGTTTTTCGTGTGTAAAGAATTTGTTATTCATTTTAATAGTAATTGTGTCACTAAACAAAATAAAATAACCATCCTTGAACAATTTTGAAATAGAAATTAAATTCTTCTCAAAGAGTGTACATAAAGATAATCTTT